TCACCTCGATGCAAAGAAGGCTGGAGATCTCTCCACCCTGTTTGACGTGGGAGGAATAGTGGGTAGGTGCTTTTGTTCAAACTTTAATATTTGTTATCTTGCTCTTATCTAGACAAAGAGACAGAGATTAGTGTGGGTGCTTGCATATACAGTAACTATTCTTCTATTTGCTAACTGTCTGCATTTATTCTCTGTGTGTGTGTGTTGCAGGGGGGATCCTCGCAGGAGTGATCTCTGATAAGCTGGAGAAGAGAGCCACCACCTGTGCAGTCATGCTGCTGCTGGCTGCTCCTACAGTGAGTGTTGTACATCAAACATAGTGGCTTCTAATTATGTTAGTAATTCAACATTGTTAGATTTCTTTTCCTTATGGTTCAGACTCACGGTTTAAACATGCTCCTCCTGCTGTGCTGCACTTAAAGCAAACTTTCTTAGTGAGGCCAAATGTGTTTGTTTGTTAGCAGCGGAGCGTTAGACAGATTACACAGTGTTTTTTGTTTGTGTCCATGAAGGGGAAAGGCGTATTTAGTGCTACTTGAAGCTCTTTCTGATAACCAAAGAGGCTCCAGCACAGTGTGGACCAATTAAAACCAAATATGCTCTTTACATTTCTCCTTTCACTTGAAATGAAGGTAACATCAGGCTGGTGTACATGTGAACAGTGATTGAGCATGTGAGTGTTTGACCCTCGTGTTTTCTCTCTGTCCTGCAGCTGTATGGCTTCTCCATGATCAGCGAGTTTGGGTTTGGGCCAACCATCGGTAAGATCCTCTCTCTGCTGAGGACAGGATGTCCATTAGTGTTTATTCACTGATTCTTTAGAGAAGCAATGGGTTGTGGGTTATCAAAATAAAGCTTTTTGTGGTTTCAGAAAAAAACTACACCAATGCTGTTGTTATGTGCTCATTTAATGAATGGCTTTGTTTTGGTAGAGGTGGGGGAGTTGAATTCATACAGATTTATTTAGTATTAAGTGATAATTAAAAAGGTTTTTTATGATGCAAAAAGGACCTTGTTCAAACAAAAAATATTTTGCATGCACTTTTATTTCGTTTTAGAAATACACTTCAGAATATAGTGAGTCCCTTCCTACAGTGAGGGAAAGCAGTGACCTTTACCAGAAGCTCTGGTGGGGACAGGATGTGCAGAAAGGAGTAACCTCTGACCTAACCTTTTCTCAATGATATGGTCAAATCAAAAACAAAATGTTTACACACTCCTTCCCAGTTGTTTGGTTTGTAAAAGTAAAGCTTTTCAGATAGGTTTGTGTTTTAATAATTCTGTCTTCTCTTAACAGTCCTGAACACAGTTTAGGATTTATATTACTATATCAACAGACATACCAACACACCAGCAAATCATCCCTCTGTGGGTCCAGCTGCTATTTATGGATCCAGATGAATGAGGTCCCATGATGACCTGGCTAAATTGATCCCATGCTCATTGGTTGATACGTTTTAATGAGCATCAGCGTCTCATTCAGACACTGGCTCCCTGACGACTCTTTAATCATTCATACCTCACAATACCTGCTGGGAGTTTGTGATGACATGGTGTGATAGAGCAGAGGGTGAGCTGCAGTATCAATATAGCAACACACTCTGACATCAGGGAAGCATAGCTGCTGCTGTACTGCTCTCAGCTCCAAACTGAAGCACCATACACTTGATCAAAATGCCAGATATATGTTCAGCATGAGGGGGAATATTGAGTTAGAAAGGAGCACAGTGGACGTGGGTGGCTGTACTCCATAACTCCATGACTGTGTGTCTTCCAGCCATGCTGCTGGTTTGTGGAGGGTTAGTCAATGGACCATACTCCCTCATCACAACTGCAGTTTCTGCTGATTTGGTAAGTGTGTTTAACTCTAACTCCAGTCTGATGAATTGTACAGTTATAAACTAAATCAGCTCAGGTGCCCTCTTATTTCCTTCTTTGACCTTTGACTCTAGGGCACCCACAAGAGTCTGAAAGGCAACGCCAGAGCGTTGTCCACTGTGACTGCCATCATCGATGGCACAGGATCTATAGGTCAGTATCACTAATCAACACGCGTGTCTGTACTGAAACACAGAGTGAAGAACCAAGCAGCACATTGTGAGACTTCCTGCTCACACAAGTTATAAAAGACAACACGAGAAGACGGTGGTGCGAAAACACACAGATCTAATTCAAAAATAGCAAATGTTTCTCAATATCAAAATGCTAAGATAAAGCTAACCAACAATGTGTCCGTCCTACCATCACTATCACCGACATTAGATGTGAATGATCTGCTCAGTGGTGTTCAACTTCACATATCTTCTCTTACCCCTCAGTCTAATGTTAAGATAATACACACTCACACCCTTTTGTTTGTGCTGTCAGGTGCAGCACTGGGACCCCTGCTGGCGGGGCTGCTGTCTGCAGGGGGGTGGGATCAGGTATTCTACATGCTGATGACTGCTGACTTCCTGGCTCTGTTGGTGAGTGTTTAAAAAGTCTGTTACAGCTGTTAGTCTGTTACAGCTGTCACTGATGTTTTGGAAATTACTGATGTTACTGAAGTTACTGATGTGACTGCTGTGACTGTTGTCACTGCTGTGACTGCTGTCACTGCCGTGACTGCTGTGACTGTTGTTACTGATGTGACTGCTGTGACTGCTGTGACTGATGTGAGTGCTGTGACTGCTGTGACTGATGTGACTGCTGTCCTCCAGTTGCTCTACAGTAGGTGTAGCTAGTTAACACAGTTGAGCATTTAGCATTTACAGAGCCAAAAAGCTCTGCTTGGTGGAGACCATAAACAGAGTGAATGTTGGACATAACATTCATCATGTGGACACAAAGATGACTCAAAATGATGTTGAATTGGCCATAATCACTTTATTAGGTGATCAGATACTTTGTTTTCAGCGTGTTCTGCTGCCCCCAAATCACCAAATAAAAGTAATCAATACATTAAGTTTTTGAATTCAGCACTAGAAAATAGGAATATGTTTCAAATAATGACTGGCTAATTGTTCATATTTAACTTTGTGTCTATGTGCAGTGCTTGTTACGGCTTGTGACAAAGGAGCTGACATCATCTAAATCCCCTCCCATCTCGGCTGTAGAGTAAGTCATGCTTCTGTCATAATTTCACTCAAGCTTCTGTTTCTATTGGATGATCTCGCCCATTTCTCACAGATGCTCCTAATGAATTCATTTGATTTAATATCTAAATGTCCATGTCAAATTGTTCTCCACTTATATTAAGTAGAAGTATTTAAAATGTAACTCAAAAGTCTCAATTTCTTTAAAAAACGAAATATGTTATACATTTGGAAGCTAGGAACAAATTGTTCATGCTTCAAAAGAAAACACATTTACTGGTGAGGGGCATTGAAACCTGAAAGAAGGGATTCTGGAAAAAGATCAGGGCGGAGAGGGAACAGTGTTTGTGTCTGAGTCAAATAAAAAATGTTCTTTGATTCTATAAACCATTTGTTTACCATTTAGGGAACTTTAATCTTCAGAAAAGGAAAAGGAAAACTAAAAAGAAGCAGTGTTATCAGATCTTGAATCAAATATATACTCTAAATGAAAGTAATAATCATTTTTTTTATTTAGGAGGAAAGTTGTTTATAGAACAAAAACGTTTTTTTACTCAAACACATACCCGTAAAACCAGAGAAACAGATCATTTTGATTTGGAATAGTTTAGAAATCAAGAGACCACTGCAAACTGAACATTCTGCAAAACAAGCAACACATTCACTGGAGAGTGGTGTATATAGATTTAAAAACAATATGTATCATTTGATAGCTTTCTCCTCTTTAGCGAAAACAACCTAAGGAGAAATAATGTTCATAAAACATTTTTATTCTGGAAAAAGATAAGGGCAGGGGGGTAGAGATTCTCCTAGAGAAAGTGTTTGTTTCTTCACTAGTTATTGAAAGGGACCTGAAGGCTATTCTTCTTCTCCTTCCCTGACAGCAATGGCTACACAGTAAAGGTGTAGCCATCACATTTTACAGGAATATCTTCAAGTGCCACAAGATGGCAACTCAATTCATCTTTATCGCAGGGGATTCATCATTTAATTTAACATTGCATACATTTATTGAGATATGATAGCCATCCAAGGCCATAGAATGTAAGATGAAGGATTGTTCTTCTGATTCACCAGCAGTAGAGTCCTATACTTCAGAGAACATGGTGCCACTATGAGAATCACTCATAGAAAAGAAGGCAAACTTCAGGATTGGATGGCACTTAAAGTTTTATTTCAGATGTAGGGGTCTTTTAGGATCTCCACTTTAGGACATGTTTAATATATCAGTGAAACCCTGCCTTGATTACTTTTTATTAAAGTATATAGAGCCTTCCTCAGTCATTGTGTTCTTCAAGGACAACAAGTTCAGTTTTCAGAGTGTGTTGCTCCACACTGTAAAACTTAATGACACCCTACTTATCAATATGGTGTTAATGTTTGTCTCTACTCCACAGGTTGAAGGAGCACTGAGCACTTTGATTGCACTGCCTCCACGATGAACACACACACACACACACACACACACACACACACACACACACACACACACACACACACACACACACACACACACACACACACAGTTTACATATTAAAAGTTGTGTTTCATTTAAGGTACTGTAATTCTACAAAAAAAGAATCATTAAATGTTGTGTTTAGCCTGTACTTCTATAGGTTTAACATCACATACTGTCTTTAAACATTACATC